TTGTGCTCAGTTTTACAAAAACTTAAATATAAAAATTTGATATAAAACAAATGACATGTTCTATTTTAATTATATAAAATTAATTCACTTGTGTGTAGTATCTAAAACTTTAAAGATATTTTACCTATAGCCATTATTATCTGAATACATATCACAAAACATTTTATTATCAATTTTTCAAAATGGAAGAAACATAATTTGTCATTTTAGGAAATGTAATTTTTCCCTCTTTATTTAATTATCTATAAATTTTATAGTTCTGATGACAGTTATTTTTAGTTCATGTCAATAAGTTCTACAAATACATAATATTAGCAACACTTAAAAAGATGGATTCAATTTCTATCAACTGCTTTTTTCCTTTATGCCCTCTTTTAATGGTACATGTTCAATTTTTATTAGATCACTTACCTATATCCTTAAATTCTTTAGGATTCTCAAATGCATATCATCTGGTTTTTCTAATATGTTACAATCTATTTTCTTGAGATGATGTTTCATCTTTAAAAAAACACCTTCAAAAGTACCTATTGTTATTCGCAAATATTCTGGTGTAAGGTCTGTATTTTCTTTTTACAATTATAGTAAAGAAAGGACTTTTTCCCTGTTTTTTAGTTTTTTCAGTGGCTCAACAAGGACCTTTAGAGTGGTTATGAAAGCTTCAGAAAGAAAAGATGACAGTGAAAAACACGAACTAAGCTTTAAATGTTTCTATACATGTTGCAATTAAATTTTAAAAATTTCACTGAATTAATTCATGTAGTATAAATGATATATACTGTGCATTTAAAGCATTCCTTTCTTGATATAGTTCACCACAAAATAGAAAAGTACTTATGAATATATATTATAAAAAAAGACTTAATAATTAAAATTTTATGAAAGGAAAGATGTCAAGTTAATAAGACAATGAAAAAACATTACAACTATTTATTATTCAAAATGGCAAAATCCATTTGCTCTATATATGTATTTAGTATAGACTTGTCCACATGAAGTTCTTAAACACTTTTGCAGTCAATTATTTCTACCCATTTCATAGATGAAGAAAAGAGGTAGGGGATGGTTATGGTATGGGTGATGGATATCAAGTAATTTATTGAGGATTACACAATGGACGAATAAAGCAACTGGGAACAGATAATAGTTTCTGTGTGCTAAAAATATTGCCTTCCCATAAGTGTCACTGACATTTTGCACAAATATTGATAAGCATCTGTCAAGAAACGTTAATTTAAAAGCCCCTTATACATTGCTCTAACTTTAATGTTAATATATTAGTACGTATGTATGTCTGTATAACACATATATATTTTATATATTTATCTATAAAACACATTTATATTTTATAGACACACACACACGACTCAGATGGTTTTTGATGGAACTTCGCCCCTTCATATGACTTTAAAAGGTCTTTCTAAATGATCCTCCTTAAAAGCAAGCTTCTGGGAAGTAATATGGCATATTATTCAGGCAGATACTGTACTTCGATTTGAAGTAAACTTCCAAAACTTTTTAAAAAATATGGAAACAGTCTTTAGAACAACCTGAAAATGTTACATGAAATTGTTACACTATAGATAAGTAAAAGAAAAAAATGTATGTTAAGGATATTTACATAAAATCATGATTATTTTCCTTGTAATTGGTTTAGAATTCAGATTGCAACTTTGACACTATGACTTAAAATTTATCAAAGAGATTTATGTTTTGTAACTGACATTTTAAATTGAAGATTTACTTGAAGTGGTACCTAATATGTTTTTTGTAATTAATTCCTTTGAGGCTAGGTTTCATAGACACCGAATTCTTTTAACATTAATCCCTCCTTTAGCAATATCTTCATTGTTGGAATTAGCAGTTGAAAATAAAAGTTAATCTTTTTCAAATGAGGTCCTCAGTTTCTGGTATTGTTTGTTTCACCGAAGCAAGATTTTCTTCAAAGTGCAAAATATCTTAAAAGTGCATGCTAGGGAGCAGTGTATGAAAAAAGCTGGAAGTTAAATAAAGTGTGCATTAATAAGAAACAGAAAATTTCATTATATAGATACTTAAGTTCTTAATGAAGGGGTTGAGTAATAATGGAGGGTCTGTCTCATTTTAAACTTTATACTATTATTCAGGTTATCTGTACATAATACCTAAAACTTACAAGCCTTATATATTTGTCTTTTCTATTTATTCACGAAATGTTGCAAGGATTACTTTGGTGGATAGCACAATTTGATGTAGGACGATGTTCAATAAATTGTTGTTGAATAAATGACGATTTGTAGCTTAATTTCTAGTTTTAAGATTGGGAACAATACATGTAAAAGTTGGGAGATAAGTAACTGAGCACACAGTGGTTCACTATCCCCAAAATAAATATTATTGAGGAAGAAAAATGTTTACTAATTAGGTATGTTTACATATTCACAGTTGCTAATTATGTTCTCTTGTGTTGGCAAATGAAGACAAAACAAAATTTTCCCTCTTTAGCATCTGTGCTGCCTTCATCATATACGTTGAATAGTTTGTATGTTTTACATGTCTTTATGAAGCATGGAAAGTAATGGTGAGTCTACTCAGTAGTGTTAATGAAAGCCAAACGCTCACCAATTCCACATAATTGACTAATTCATGTGGAATATAATGGTAAGGAATGCTGAGATCAGTGGGGGTTTTGCCTACCTCCAAAAGGTGGGATGAGCATGTTTGTCTTGGACTTCCAGACACCTTAATGAGTCCTAAAAATACACGTGTCCTCCTTTAGTAAAATTCCTTCTGAATTTTCCTTTATGTATTATTACTCCATCATCAACAGTAACACACAAGTATTTACAAAGTTGTTGCTTTTTACTCATTTTTAAGATGGCTTTGGGTTCATGGATGAATTTTGGAGTTTATGTTTAGAGACATAATCAGTGGTTTTCTCTCCCTAGTCATTTGATATTGAACTTAAAGTATTTAAAGAAATCTTTTGAAAATATTTCTCCCTATCTCTGTAGGTTAATATACAAAATTCAGGTAAAAACAGTTATTTTTGTCTTTTGAGGGGTTGGCACTTTAACTCCCCCTGGAAATACTATGCAGTACTATCCCACAGTGGAATCTGAGACTCTTGAGACAGAGCTACATTCTCAGATCTAAGGGGTTTCATTCATCTCTTACAGAGGAAGGCAAGAGAAATATTAGCACTGGGGAGTGAAAGAACAATCACAGACTGAAATAGACAAAGTAGTATATTAAGGAAGAAGAAAGCTATCAACCTACAAAGATGACAACTTTAACAAATTAGGCTACGCTTTAGTAACATATTAACAGTTTTTCACATTCCAATAAAAACAGGTTTAGATGCAATGAACATTTTGGGTAGTATCACTCATAACTTGGGACCACACATACCTGGCACTATAGCATCCTGCACACATATGGCTACCACATGAAAGGAAAGCATTGTAAAAACTTGGAGGTTATACATTTTTTTCTTTCTGAAGTATTTCTGTGAAACTGAATGCTTAAAAAGTTACGTATAAAATCTAGAATCCTGAATGTTCAAATACAGATTCTGCAACTTAAAGTTGTATGCTTTATTATTTCACAGCCATGCAAAGTTATGTTTAATTATGATTTCACTTTAGGAATTACTGTAGATGAACTGAAAAGTCATTTAATTGTAATGAAGATATTGGGAAAAATAAACTGTATCCACTTTAAGGTCAAAGTATTTAAAGGTTAGATTGAAAAAAAATATAACTTCCTCAAAGCTGTGCTGTCTTTGGGTGGTCTTTTGATAGTTGTATCTTAATTTTACAGAATGAAGAATTTATCTGGTTAAGAACAATACCACTTGTTCTAAATTCTGCCCATTTGTGTAATTAACTCTATTCTGAATCTCTTTATTTCCACAAAGCCTTGTGAACCTAAGCTTTATTTTGATAATGCTGTCTAACATTTATGACTTGACAAGCATGTCCAATCAATAAATAGCAAAAGAAATTAAAATATCCTTCTTCCTAGGACCAGGTCGAAGAAGGAAACTCGTTATGATTTATGGTTTGGGGATGGGAGCAGGTGAAAAATTAGAAAGCAAAACTATCTGGAAACAAACAAAAATTCTACCAATCTGCAAACATTTCAATATGTTTTAGAAACTATTATCTTGTTCCCATATTAAATACATATTTTCTTACCTCTTGCTCTTTTTTAAACCAAGAAAAAGCTTTATTTTTCAGCCAGAGCTCTATGTCAGTTTAAGAATGTTATTTAAAGGACTGAAATGAAAGCTGTCTCGTTTGAATCACATTATGACATTCTTCAGCGTCACTGACTTTCCCTAAACGAAAAGAAAAGAAAAAAAAAAAGTCCAAACAACTTGCCTTTAAAAAGATTCCAAATATGAAAGACTTGGCAGGTCTGTTGTTGCCCTAGAAAAGATTTCCCGCGTGTGGGCAACAAGAACAGCCACACTTTATTTTAAAGTCCGACAATGCAAAGCCAAGCAATGCATTCCCCCTCCTGGCCCCCTCAAGAACAAATTGTTGCCCCTTTTTCATCCATCCTACCAGAAGGGGGACCTTTCCACTTTCAGATGCTCCTCTGCTTTAATTTCTGAAGAGAAAAAAAGCGAGCAGAAGAGCCCCGAGATCCGCCGTGGAGCTCTAATAACATTGCGGCGGCGGCGGTGCGGGTGTGTGCGAGCGGGC